CTAATGTCGGGTCTCCCTCATAAGGCTCATCAGCTCTTAGCACAGCGAATACTCGGTAGTTGTCATGCTCGAAATGGCTTTAACCTTCGGATAGTTGTACATGTTCTGCTTTATTCGTGCAAACAATTAGAATGTTAACTGTTCCATCACAATTTATTTTTAAGGGATGGTTATTTTTGAAATTTTTAAAAATTTTTTGAGATAATTGTGGAGATTCTGTGTACCGTTTGCTCAGTCTCCCTCAGTGATAACATCTTGCAAAACTGTGGCACATTACAACCAGGAAATTGACATTGACACCATCCATCGGTCTTATTTAGATTTCCCCAATGTCACATGTAGGTGTGTATTTAGTTCCACATAGTTTTCATCGCGTGTGTGGGTTCTTGTACCCACCCCCAGGGTCAAGCTACAGCACAGCTGCAGCACAAGAATCCCTCCCTGCCCTTGTATAACCGCACCTCCCTACCGCAGGGCACCCCTTCCCCAGTCTGTTCCCCCTTTCTAAAATTGTGTCACTTTAAGAATTTATATAAACAGAATGATACTGTATATAACTTTTGGGAAGCTGGCTTTTTGCATTCAGCATAATCCCCTGAGGTCCATCTCAATTGTCGCATGTATTGATGGCTCATTCCTTCTTACTGTCCAGTAGTAGTTCATGGTACTACGTGGGGTTTAACCCACTAAAGGATATCTGAGTTGTTGCCAGTTTTTAACTACTTTTGAATAAAGCTGCTGTTAACATTAATGTACAGCTTTTTATGTATGAACCTATTTTTGTTTCTCTGGGAGAAATGCCCAAGCGTACAATTGCTGGGTCATATGATAAGCACCTGTTTATTTTGATAAGAAACTGCCAAACTGCTTTTCCAAAGTGGCTGCACCTTTATGCATTTCCACCAGCAATATTCGAGTGATCCACTTTCTCCTGAGGATATTTTTCCATTGATTTTTAGAGCAAGTAGAACGGAAGGGGAGAGAGAGAAAAACATCAATGTGAGAGAGACACATTGATTGGTTGCCTCCCACACGCGCCCCAACCAGGGCCTGCAACCGAGGTTTGTGTCCTTGACTGGAATTGAACCCAGGACCCTTCAGTCCTCAGGCTGACGCTTTATTCACTGACCCAAACCCGTAGCGCGGTGTCACTATTTTTTATTTTAATTATTCTGATAGGTATGTAGTGGAGATGGTTATTTTTATTTATTTATTTATTTATTATTATTTTCTAAAGTTTTACATTTGTCTTCTTTTTCCCCAATTGACACACCCCCTCCCCCCACCGAGATGGTTATTTTTTAGTTTGCACACATGTAGTAGTTGATTTGTTACTAGATTGAATACAGCATTAGACACTTCCAGGGTCTGTGATCAGACTTTCATGGACCATAGTAGCTTTTTATTGCTCTGATTTTGAGCATGTGTTTCTTAGTTTAACAAGGTAAAAGCACTCCAATACACATGCTCTTTTTATAAAAAATTTTTTCTGCTTACCGTCTCCCCTTTCAATTAAGTAATTTCAAATCAAGAGCTCACCTTACATTTATACACCCTGTAAGATATTTGGCTAGCTAGAGACATTTGTGTTCACGACACCACCCTCAGCTGCGAGGTCTGGCCTTCTCTAAGTCATAAACATAATTGCAAGTTTTAGAAACATCAGTTATAAATTTATGGCTCTAAGCCATGTTCTGATAGTAAGAAGGTCTTTTTAAATTATTTTCATTCCTGAATTATTTATTGCAGTAGTAATTTAGTAGTAATTTTTAACTTGCTTTTAACTGGTTTCTTTTAATCCATTAGAGTTAAATTCACCAACTCACCACTAGAGGTCTCCTCTTTCCATATAGAAAGCATTCCCAGAGGTAGCTTGAATTCCTTAGAAATTGCTAAATTTAATTAGCAAGTCACACTTGAGAATGTAAAAACCTACCAATTTATTTTTTATCTTTATTGATAAATAAACATTTGATTTTCATGTTTAAATTATTTTAATATAATATCTAGTATTTTTAGAAATCATAGCTGAAGTAGCAAATTTGGCCTTTTCTTTAAGCTGAATTATAAGGTGGGCCAAAATAAGTCAAAGTCCATCAGTTTTCATAGACCACTCAAATTTACCTGCTTAATAACAGTTTCTCTGGTTCTTACCTTTCTCCATGGAAATACATCAATCATTAAAGACTATTAGCAAATATTCATTAAACTCTTGCATTGTGCTAGGTACTAAGCAAAATGGAAATGAATAAGATGTGATCCTTGGTCTTTCTTTTGCTCTACATACTTTTCTTTTTCTGCCTAATGAAACTTTTAATCATCCTTTAAGAGCCATCCCAAAAGAAAACTCTTTTAGGCTCTGACAGAACTTGTTCATACTTCTACTAAGACACCATGTTGCATGTTATTTCTTTATGTCTTCTGCCTTCATTAGACTATTCATTCTATGAGGACAGGAACCATATCTTTGTCTCTGTTGTTTTGTTTGGTTTTTCTATCTTCCCATTATATCTCTTGAACTAGGTATAGTAGACATTCAATAAATATTTATTGAGTGAATGAATAGGTGGATGGATGAAGATGGCATTTGAATAAGGTCTTGAAGTTGGGTAAGATTTCCATAGACAGGATTGGGTGGGTGGGGAGGAATGGTAAATAGAGGGCACAGCCTGAGTTGAATTGAAGCTAGAAAGTCCAGATTTATAAATGAGGTTGGCAGCCAATGGAGTTATTAGAGGTGGACACAGGTGGAGGGAGCTTTAACAAAAAGCTGGGAAGGGCTGAGAACGTGGAAGTGATAGCAGGGGGAAGGGAAAGTTTGCAGTAATGCAGGCAGAGTGATGGTGGAAAAGGGAGGGGGTGGGCAGGTGATTCCAGATTCTGTCCTCAGACCTCATCTCTCACTGTTCCACAACCTCAACATCCTCAGTCACTTCCTCAGCTCTGAGGTGGTTCCCACTCAGGCCTCTTTCTAGTCCTCCCTTTTTCCCTGAGTTGCAGGACCATCTTATGACCAAGGAAAGAGCTCTGGACTGGTAGTAGCCAGAACTAGGTTCAAGTTTCAGCACTGCCACCAATTAACCATGAAACACTGGGCAAGTCTTTTTAAACACATGCATTTATTAAAACCCCACCTTGTTCTGGAAAGGATGTAGGGTGTCAGCAAGTTACTTAATATCAGGGCTTCAGTTTCCTTGTCTCTAAATGAGGTGACGTGGAGACAGTGTAGTCTAGGTGATCTGAGTTCCTTCCAGCTCTACCATTTTGTGACACTGATTCTAATCACTTGTTGGTCATCTCCTCTTAGAAGTTCTGCCAACACTACATATTTAGAATATGAAAAACGGGAATAAACCACAACCCTGTCCTTCTGACATTGATTTCATAATGGCACCATCATCCGACCAGTGACTCAGGAGCAAACTCAGTGTCATCTTCAGTTTCTCTGGCCCTCGCCTCTATAATCTCATTTACTGGATCATGTGGGATCCATTCTGCAATGTCATTCCAATTCTCCTCTCCCCCAGCCCCCCACCCCTGGCTGTTTCCCATGGCCACATGTAGTTGAAGCCCTTGTTAGCTGTCTTTCTGTCCGGTGCTAGTGTACTCGATTTTGATGTTGCTGTTTGAGTAGTATTCCTGAATCATAGTTCTAAAAATGCCAGTGTTCTGTGCTAAAACTTCAGTGACTCCCAACCACCTGCAGAAGAAAGTCAAAATTTCCTGGCTGATTATGCCAGACCCTTTCTGATGTGACTGTGTAAATTGTCTCCTCATTACCTACCCTCATAAGCTAACCAAACTGAAATGCAACATGACTTCAATGTCCCTGCCTCAGCTAATCACCTGGATTATTGAAATTCTGGTCTGTTCTTATTTTAACTTTTGAAGTATTTATCAGACAATATCTTTTATTTTAACTACTTGGTAACTTGTTTTCGCTCACTCCACTCTGCCTTAAGTTGTTAGTTCCTCAAAGGCAGAGACCAAGTTTCATTTTTCAGTGTTTCCCCCACACCTGGCATACTTCTAGAGAAACTTGAATTGACATAAATCAAATTGAGATCCATTTTAAAAATCACTTCCTCAACTCATGGTTATAGGTTTTTACAGCTGGAAATCATCTGTGCACATCATCTCTTTTTACAAATGAGAAAACCAAGGGTCAGAGAGGTGAAGTTACTTGCCCAATCTTTCCCAGCTGCCCTTCCACAGCTCTTTGCACTGTTCTGGTGACACTATTTGCACTTTTGTCATAGGAAGATCTGTTTCCATGTCACCTCTTCCTTCCTGGATATAACTGTGTGGACCGCGGCATATTGCTCCGTAGGTGATTTTAAGTTTGCCATTTTGATACTGAAAATGTAGATTGGGAGTGGGGTTGTTTCAATAATTTTATATGGACACCAGGTGGCAACAGTGCAAACAGGATAGAACAGTGGAACTTAATATCAAGGCTGGAAGGAACCACAGAGTTTTTTTTTGTTTTGTTTTGTTTTGCAGCAAAAGAAACTGGGAAACTGAGACAGGAGTGACTTCTTCAATAGAGATTGAGAGGCAAGTGAGTCATCAGCTTTATTGGCACAGCATCATTGACTTTGAAGTTGTGAAGTGACTATATGTACATGACTCTGATTGCCAGTTGATGATCAACTAGTAATACTGTGTTGTGTTTCTAGATCAAATGATGCTGTTTGGAAAAATTTCCTGGCAGTTGTGTGGCTTAAAGAAACTCCCATGGTCATGTGACTCCAGATACTTCTGGGGCTGGTTGAATGCAGTATTTAATAAGTAAGTTACTCTAATTAAAATGAAGAAATGTGGGAATTGTTAAAGATAGATGAATTTGCAATAGTTATTTGGTTATTTCTTGTATTCCAAATGATTTTTTTGTATAGTGTGTGCAGTATGAGCCTCATTTTGTTTAAAAACAAATAAAATATATATACAAATTGAATAAAGACCCCAAAATAGATTATAAAATATTAACATGACTGGGTTGCAGGATGTCAGTGACTTTTATCCTATTTGGCTTTTCCATGCCTTTCAAGTTTCCTAAAATGAACATTTATTATTTTTATAATCAGAAAAGCTCAGTAAATGTAATTTTAGAATATTTAACTCTATGGCTTCTTAATGGATGTAGTTAGCCTTTTGAATACTATGAAGGCAACTCAAGTTTTTTAAAAATGTGTGGCATGCTTAGAAGCATCATTTTGAAACTGAAGAAGCTAATTTCCTCATTGCTTAATATAGCAATAACACCATTGACTAGAGAAAAAGGCATATATAAAAATTAATATCACTTAATAAGATTAATTTGAACATAGGTTCAAAATTATTCCCTTTAATCTTTTATCATTAATAAAAACAATAACCAAGTGTATCATTCTTTTGATACAAGTTATTGAGTACTTCCTGGTGTCAAGCACTGTGCTACATCTGAATCAATGAAGACTCACTTCTGCCTGACAACTCATATAAAAATAATATGCCTTCACAGAGTTCACTTGGAAACAAAAATAAAGCAAGAAAGGTAGCAGGTAGAGTCATTGTATGTTTTTTTTTGACATGGATCTCACTAGTATACTTGTTTCCCTCAGTCATTTGAAATGAAAAGTCTTTTCTGTATTTATGTTGATGAGTATAGTTAAAAAGCTAATGATTATAATAAAAGCTAACTGCTTTTGTTTTCTTTCCAATAGAGTAGATCGTGAACGCATCAAGGAAGTTGGCCCCGAAAGGGCGGCCTCCGAGTGGCTGCTTCGCTGTGGGGCCATGGTACGCTATCATGGCCAGGAGAGGTGGCAGAAGGACTACAACAACCTCCCAACAGGCCCTCTGGACAAATACAAGATCCAGGCCATCGATGCCACTGACTCTTGTATCATGAACATTGGATTTGATCATCTAGGTAACTACCCTATCATTTGCTTATGAAAAATGCAGGTAATTTACAGTGACATTTTGTTGCAGTTGAATATTATAGTCGTAGATATGTTCTTTTTGCCTTTTCAATATCATCCAGTTTGTTTCTTCTTATGTATAATATTTTTAAATTAGAGGTTACAAGCACCTTCCTCTCCTTACTAAGTTTGTCTCTACATGACTTTATTCTGTGGCTTATTGACTTAAAATTCAAGCCTTGTTTGTCAAACTATCTGTCAAACTTTTGTCATTGAGAGATCCTCAATGATGTAGGAATAATTCTATCCACACAGCTTCTGCTTGGGTGGTTCTCCCCCGCCCCACCC